TCCAACTCAAAAAAAAAAAAAAACCCACAAGGAGATATTATCTTATAATAGCCAGCACTTTGGGAGACCGAGGCCGAGGTGAAAGGACTGCCTGAGCTCAGGGGTTCTAGACCAATCTGGGTAACTTAGTGAGACTTCATCTCTACAATAAATCAAAAAATCATCCAGGTGTAGTAGCATGCACCTGTACTTCCATCTACTTGGAAGACTGAGGTGGAAGGATCGCCTGAGCCCAGCAGGTCGAGGCTGCAGTGGCGTGAGCATGCCACTGCACTCCAGCCTGGGCAACAGAGTGAGACTCCGACTCAAAAAAAAAAAAAAAGACAAAAAAAATTACAGATGTCGGCAAGGATGTGTAAAAAAGAAAAGGCTTATAAACTTGTTGGTGAGAAAGTAAATTAACTAAACCTCTATGGAAAACAGTATAGAGATTTCTCAAATAACTAAAAATAGAACTACCATTTGGTCCAGTAATCACACTACTGGGTATCTACCCAAAGGAAAAGAAATCATTATCTCAAAAAGACATCTGCACTTAAATGTTTGTTGCAACACTATTCACATAGCAAAGACATGGAATCAACCTAAGTCTCCATCAACAGATGATCAGATAAAGAAAATGTGGTATATCTGTATATACCATGGAATGCTGCTCATCCATAAAAAAGAATGAAATCATGTCTTGCAGCAACATGGATGAAACTGGAGGCCATTATCTTAAGTAAACAACTCAGACACAAAAAGTCAAAGACCACGTGATCTCATTTAATGTGTACTCATGGGCAGAGTGTGTAGAATAATTAATAGTCATTGAAGACATGGATACCCCTTATATTTCCTTTTTCTTTTTTTCTTTCTTTCTTTTTTTTTTTTTTGAGTTGGAGTCTCACTCTGTCACTCAGGCTGGAGTGCAGTGGTACACTCACAGCCACTGCAGCCTCGACTTGCTGGGCTCAGGTGATCCTTCTGCCTCAGCCTTCCAAGTTGCTGGAACTACAGGCATGTGCTACCACGCCTGGCTAATTTTTTGATTTATTACAGAGATGAGGTCTCACCAACTTGCCTGGGCTGGCCTCAAACTCTTGGGCTCAGGCAATCCTCTCACCCTAGCCTCCCAAAGTGCTGGGATTATAGGCGTAAGCCTATTTTTCTTTAAAAAAAAAGGGGGGGGGCGGTTGTTGCAGGGCTTGGAATGCCAAGCTTAGCAACATATAGGACAAAACTGAGTTAGGAAAAGTATTTCCCCCAGAAACAACCTACCAACTCCAGAAGGGGGCAGCAGCGGCTCTGTGACGAGAAGGAGGAAATACAAGCGACCTGGCTACTGCTTTCCAGCGCTTTCCAGCTTCGTGCGGTTGAGTTCAAATGAACTTAGCAAATGTTGGCTGAGGACCCACCCACTCAGTGTTACACACTGCATCAGGTGCCAGGCACGGAGATGGGACCAGGACTGGATACCTGACCTCTAGAAATATACATTTGATGGTGTCCCTCTGTCCCCCCGCATGGTCCCTTAATAGTCCCACCCAAATACACAAGTGTGCATTGGTACACATGTGCAGATGTAAATACAAACACCACACACCAGCCTCCAAAGCTCCCCAAAACCTCCCCTCCCTTTCCCATCATTTCATCCTTTACATTCTCTCAAGGTGACTCCAACATAACCAGTTTAAAAAAAACCTCAAACTTGCATCCCTACCCCCTTCTTGTCACCCCAAAACAAAGCCTCCTTGGTTAGATGTGTGCAGAAGACACCCGTAAGGAAAGCAGTTTCATATCCAGGTGCACTCGGTCAAAAAGGATGTAGCAACAAGTGTCCAAGATGAGGACCTCTCTATGTACAAATTTACTTGCCTGCCTTTCTCCTTGACTTTTTCCACTTATTTGATATTCTGGTTTCCTCCCAAAAAAGACAAATCCACCCCTGGTCCAAAAAGATAACCAGGATAAGATCTCCAAGGTCCTTCCACAAGGTTCTTTCTAATATCAAGGCTAGCCTGTTCCACAAGTATAATTATTGAGAATTAAATGAGCTCTATTAAGTGAGGTTGCTTAAACAGTGCCTGAGACATGGAAGGGACTCTTTAAGTATTACATATTATTGTCGTTGTTACTATTATTATATGATATGAGGGAAGCAAATGAAGTTTTTTTGTTTGTTTGTTTTTGAATAGGAATCTCACTCTATTGCTCAGGCTGGAGTGCAATGGCACACTCAGGGCCACCGCAGATTTGGCTTGCTGGATTCAGCCAATCCTTCTGCCTCAGCTTCCAAGTAGCTGGAACTACAGGCCCATGCCACCCTGCCCAGCTAATTTTTTTATTTATTGTAGAGAGGAGGTCTTGCCAAGTTGCCCAGGCTGGTCTCAAACCCCTAAGCTGAGGCAATCCTCTCACTTCAGCCTCCCAAAATGCTGGGATTACAGGCTACCGTGCACGGCTTTCAAATGAAGTTTTAAAATCCACCACTGATAGACATGTGCATTGCCCTCTCCCTGAGACCTTTCCAGTTTCCTCATCCTGTAATTGCAGATAATCTCTACCTCAGAAGATCAAATAAGATCATCTAGTTGGAAGGGTGTAAAAAAAAAAAAGTATACTTTGAATTTAAATGACATGGAGGCAATTGTCCATTAGGAGAGAAAAGCCTAGGAGTCTTCACCTCAGCCTGTGCTTAGCAAAAAATCATGGAATTGTAGAAAACTAGGAATCACCCGATTTAATATCTGGGGACTCAAGCACAAGAATCAAAATGTTAACTATTATTCTTGGATGACTACCTAATACAATTTGTTAATTTTTTCCCCATTTTCTATTTTCAAGTAATAAGGGTTCATTTTTTAAAAAATACAGAAAATGTTGAAAAATAAAATCACTTTAAAACCTCACACAATTTTAAAGATAACCACCAACAGCAAATTCAATCTTTTTGCTATTTATGTTTCTCTAAATAAAAAGATATATTACATCTTGATTTTTTTTTTCCTTAAGTCGAGTCTCACTCTGTCACCCATGCTGGAGTGCAATGGCACATTCATGGCCAACAGACCCTTAATCTGCTGGGCTCAGATGATCCTTCTACCTCAGCCTTTCAAGTAGCTGGGAGTACAGGCATGCACCACGATGCCCTGCTAATTTTTAAAAATTTCTTGTAGAGTCGAGCCTGGTCTCGAACTCCTAGGCTCAGGCAGTCCTCTCGCCTCAGCCTCCCAAAGTGTTGGGATTACAGGCGTGAGCCACCGTGCCCAGCTGATTTTTTTTTTCAGTTAATACTAGAAGTATTTTTCCATGTTATAAGACATCTTTGTAAACATTTTCAGCAGATCAAGCAGATATATTATGATTTACTCAACTAATATTCTAAAATACATTTTGATTGTTTCTAATTCTCTTACATAAATAATGCTGTTATTCACATCTTTGGACATAAATCCTTTTTTGTATTTAGGATAACACAGCTCCCAGGAATATTACTAAAGAGTTCATACTCTTTTAACTCTCTTGTTACATCTGACCAGAGATTTCTGGCCAACAATATAGATTTCACTTACCAACAATTTGTTTATATGTACCCTTATTTTATTAATATAATTTTTTTTTGAGTTGGAGTCTCACTCTGTCACCCAGGCTGGAGTGCAGTAGCACACTGACAGTCACCACAGCC